CACGCAGATAGACCTGCGGCCGTCCACAGGAAGTGCTACGGTCAGCAACAGGGCTGCCGCAGCACAAGCCTTGCTGGCTCAGCACCTGGGCTGTCCAACAAGGCCCCCGCAAACAGCTGCCGCCAGTCTATTAGCACAGCCAGAGCAGAGGCATTGCTACTTCGTTCTCTTCTTTTTCTTCTTCTTCTTCTTCTTCTTCTGCTTCTTCTTCTTCTTCTGCTTGCCATTCTCCAGCCACGCAGATAGACCTGCGGCCGTCCACAGGAAGTGCTACGGTCAGCACCAGGGCTGCCGCAGCACAAGCCTTGCTGGCTCAGCACCTGGGCTGTCCAACAAGGCCCCCGCAAACAGCTGCCAGTCTATTAGCACAGCCAGAACAGAGGCATTGCTACTTCGTTTTCTTCTTTTTCTTCTTCTTCTTCTTCTGCTTCTTCTTCTTCTGCTTGCCATTCTCCAGCCACGCAGATAGACCTGCGGCCGTCCACAGGAAGTGCTGCGGTCAGCACCAGGGCTGCCGCAGCACAAGCCTTGCTGGCTCAGCACCTGGGCTGTCCAACAAGGCCCCCGCAAACAGCCGCCAGTCTATTAGCACAGCCAGAACAGAGGCATTGCTACTATGCTTCTTGCTGCCTGTTGCTAGTGGTTTTTCTGATCTTGTGATGCTTCTGGGTCTTCTTCTTAGTGCTGCTGCTGTGATTGCTGTTGTTGGTGTATATCCTGGGGTCGCAGGGCACAACCTTGGCATTGGCATCTCCACCTTTGTGGGCTTTAGCGCAGGCCACAGCTAGCCTGTCCGAGGCCACGCAGCCTTGGCATGGCCTGAACTGCCACATACGATGCTAACCGCCGAGGCCACCCTCTTCTTTTCTAGGCTTCCGAAGCGACGGCCCCCCTCAAACGTTTCTCGGCGCCTTGCAGGGTGCAACCTTGGCATTGGCATCTCCACCTTTGTGGGCTTTAGCACAGGCCACAGCTAGCCTGTCCGAGGCCACGCAGCCTTGGCATGGCCTGGGCTGCCACGTACGGTGCTAGCAGCCGAGGCCAGCCTCTTCTTTTCTAGGCTTCCGAAGGCGACGGCCCCCCTCAGACGCTTCTCGGCGCCTCGCAGAGTGCAACCTTATTGGCATTGGCATCTCCACCTTTGTGGGCTTTAGCACAGGCCACAGTTAGCCTGTCCGAGGCCACGCCTAAGGCTAGAACACCCATCTTCTTTCCGCAGACGGGCAACCACCGGAACGACACTAACGCCTTCAGTTACACATGCTACACTCCTCTTGAAAAGGGGTCGGCGGCACCCGGGCGAAGCCCTTACAATTAGGTGATGCGTTTCAACACCTTTTGTCTCGCTTCTTGATCTTTTTGGCCTTTGTTGGGCATTGTGTCCACCTTGTCTCCCTTCTGTCTCCCTTTGTCTCCGGTCTTGTCTCCCTTCATTGCGTCCGTCTTGTCTCCTTTCTGTTTCCTTTTCTCCCTTCTTGTCTCCCTTCTTGTTACTTGTTCCAAAAAATGTTTACCTGTGTGGGGTTCTTATAGGCCGGATGATTTTCCTCTGCCTCCGGGCTTGGTTTCCTGGGCTGCTTCGTCTGCCTACCGGGTGCTTTTGCACTTGTCTCCCCGCTTCTCTCCTTGCTAGGATACTCTTGGCCGGCCACTTGTCTCAGCGTACTCCGGATACACTTAGCCAGAAGTTTTTAACACTTGTCTCCCTGCTTGCCTCCCTTCTTGTTACACTTATCTCCCACTTGTCCCGGCCTACTCCGGACACACTTGGCGGGATGTTTTTGCACTTGTCTCTTTGCCTGTTTCCCTGCTGGGATACTCTCGGCCGGATGATGTTACACTTGTCTCCGCTTGCCTCAGACTACTCTGGATACACTTGGCCGGAGTTGTCTCTTGCTTGTCTCCTCATTACATACTCTTGGCCTTGGCCGGGTCTTCACTTGTGGTTGAAAGCTTAAAACATCTTTTAACCCCATGCCGTGTTAAAGCCACATGTCAGTACAACTCAGCATGTTCAATAGGCTAGCGTGTGTTCTGTGTTCGTCTGAACTGTTGGTCCTGACCTTGAGCCAATTGAGCCAAGCGCTGGAACAAACCCAGAAGGTCCGAGTTGATCACCGCGAGCTGGAACCGTTTGAGTCGTTGACTGTTTGACAGTTCGTCTCTGGCTTACTTCATAAAGGCACAAACTGTTTGGGGTCTACGCTGGTATAATTTAATACAAAAGCAACGGCCAAAAACAGAGCTCAGCGGCTGGTGGTGTGCAGTGAGCTCTCCCAGGTCTATGGATCCATCTAAGTCATCGTCACACATCCTTAACAGCTCCTCCACGCGCAGTGCTAATGTCAGGGAAACCGCAGTGCCTAGGTTTATTGAATTGCTCACGTCATTTGGGTTGCTCGAAGCTAGATGGCTAAAATGAGATGATAGGTTCTTCACTAGTTTCTCACAATTGCACTTCACTGCTTGAGTTACCCATCGGAAAGGCTGGTGTATTGAAAGGGCAACACTGGGGACAAGATCTATGTGTCCGACCTCACTGTGTGGCTGAGTTCATGCTATAGCTCTGTGCATTCTGCGTGCTCAGCGCTCTACGGTTGCCATGGGGCTTGTCGAATCTAGTGAAAGGTCTTGACGCTTTCTTCAAGAAGTCTCCATGATGACATCTCTGGGATGATGACCAATGACCGGCTGAAGGCTGGTAGCATTTGCTGACAAATTTGAGCTGCTCGTTGAACTTTTTGACCTAGCATTCTCTCTGGCAGTACCAATGCAATTCAACGTGTAACGTTCTGGCATCTCTGCACGGACTTTGAGTCTGACAGTTATTGATTGCAAGGTCTCAAAGTTTGCAAACTAGGAAACCAATTACCTCCGTCTGCATCCTTTGTCGCTCTTTGTAATTCACCCGTGATGGCCCGCATGCTCCCATGCGGCCGACTACACCCGCGTGTTTCTTGAGCTGGCTGTGTGTGTGTGATATCCCGTGCGTCAAGTACTTTCCCTTGCGGTCTAGCAGAGTCCAGAATATTTGAATCACCTGCAGCTCTGTACTTTTTAGAGGCTACGCATGAATAGCTTGAATAGCAAATTGAGCAGCACAGGTTATCTTGGCATCTCCGGTTGCTCACAGCGTTCAATATCTCTCATGTCACCTTGAAGGCCACCTGCGTGTGATGTACTCCAGACTCCCAATCCATCAGCTCCACCACGCTCAAGCGACCTCTCCAGAAGTGGATGGGACAGCCATCAGGAATCAATCTCCCAACCAAACGTCGCTCGCAGACTGGTACGATCCGTAAATATCCGAATGGAACTCATTCCTCTTGGTGAAGTTTTTGGACATTCATCATTCATGATCCACGTAGGGCTCAAACCGGCACCTAAACCGGGACTTAATTGCCAAACAAGTCACACAAGCATTCCAAAACTCTTTTCACCAAGCAGCCACTGCCATCTTTGTCTAAGAGTTTGAAGGTTGCTTCCTCTTCTTGATGTCCGTCAGGACCTCCTGAAACAAAGTCGCTTCTTCTCTTCTACTTGACCCAAAAGAATTGGAAAGCTTCGTATCCATGCCTGCGGTCACATCACCTTCCCAGAACTCTTGCAAGGAGAGCTCGCCATCTTTGTCGAGGTCCTGAATGTGGATGAGGCACGACGCAACAGTAAGACTGTTCCGGCCATTGATAGAACTGTAGTCTTAGAGTTCTCTGCGATCTCTTTTCATCCTGCACAGACCAACCAAGGGTTGAATAGGCATACTGTACCCAGTACCCCGCCGGCAGTTTCCAAATATAACATCAATCAATCCAAGACTTTTCCTGCATGACAAGGGATGTTTCCGGAGGGTTGGCCCTGAACTCTACACCTCTATTTCCACATCCGCTCCTTTCTTTTCAAAGCACTTTCTGCAACCAGGCGCAAAACCACCTGCATTGTGGCTGCAAAATAAAATCAACTAGGCATGCACGTGAGTGCTTCGCAGCCAAGTTCACAAGTAACTAAGGTCTGGCTGTGCGAGTTCCAAACTCACTATGAAATCGTTCGCCTGTTCAGCTGCATCTTGTGCAGTCGAGAAGGTGGCAGTTGGATAGCTTGCTCTGCCCATGCCCCGCTCGCTTGGTGACCCCATGGGGGCAAAGTGTAGCGGGAGCGTGTGCGTGTGCAAGGCAATCAACAATTGCAATGACAATTCTAATTTGGAGACAGTGGATCAGGAGATCAGAAAAACTCAGCATGGGGCTTGGGTTGCAGCTCGAAACCCCAACAGACATGCTAAAATAATCTAAAATATCCGCCTCCTTTACTTAGTGCCTAGCGGCCTAGCTCCGTCTGAATTTTGGCCTCGGGAAGGATTGGCACCTTGTCTGTCTCTGGGTAAAGCAAACTCCGCAGCTCGGAGACGGTCAAAGCCTCCTTTGCGCCACCGGCAGCATCGAAGAGGCGCCGGTCCTCGAGGAGGCGCTGCCTGGAGAAACGGAACGAAAACGGTTAAACGAAGAAGGCTCTTCTGTTCAGAGACGAAAGAAGAGGCTTCTAGAAAGCTTTTAGAACCTCTCAAACATCCCTCGACAGCCGTCAGGGATAAGCACAGTGAAAACGAACGAGACCGAGGCATCCAAGTCTCTCCAACTCCTTTCGATCCTCCTCGTCAATTGGCTCCAGGTCACTGCCGCCGTGAATTTCTTCAAAGCTGACAACACCATCAGAGTCAAGATCCATCTCCTCACAGGGAAATCTGGACGGTCAAATGAGTCAAGTACGTAAGGTCAGATGTGAGTGGCCGAAAGGGGTGGATAGGTGCAAACTGTGCGCAGCAGTGCAAATCCGCCCGCACCGAAGGTGCCGAGGCGTTTTATGAGGCTCGCATTATACCGCAAGTACCGCAAGTACTAAGTACTAATAGTTTTAGCTAGGGGGGGGGGCCATTTTCGCTCTAGAATCCTGTGCTTTTTCACGTTTTTGGAACCGGTTTAAAGTGCTGGAAGATAAATTCGTGCTAACTTGAAGCGTCTTGTGATGCAAGAAATGCAAGTTTCTGCATCTGAGCAGTACATAGCTCTAGAAGTCACTATCTAACGGGCGTGTCTGCGAGATAGGTACTTGAACGTCGTAAACATGGCCGAACGGGACTGGAATACACAGCTTTAGAAGTGATGTTTGGCTACAGAAGCAGAGATAAGCAGAGATCACGTCCAGGAACGGTAACATTTTCGTACGTGCATATGATCGAACATAGCCCCAGAAGTCACTATCTCAAGCACGCTTCTTCGAGATAGGGACTTCCACTAAACATGGCCCGACGAGGCTCAAAATGGACTGGAAAAGCCTGCAAAGTCACGATCAAAGTCACTATCCTCGAGATGGGGACTTGAACGTCCGGGTACATGGCTGGTCAGGAGCAGAGATAAGGAAAGATAAGGTGGTCAGGAGCGGAGATAAGGAAAGATAAGGTCCAGGAACGAAAGATAAGGTCCAGGAATGGTAACATTATCTCACGAGCATAGCTCCCATATGGTCGAACATAACCCCAGAAGTCACTATCTCAAGTATGCTTCCCCGAGATAGGTACTCGAACGTCGTAAACATGGTTCAAACGAAGGCTCAAAAGGGACTGGAAAGAGTGAAGATATTGCCTAACATAGCCTCAGAAGAAAGGGACTGGAAAACACTATCAAAGTCACTATCTTAAGCATGTCTCCTCGAGATAGGGACTTGAACGTCCGGGTACATGGCTGATAAGGAAAGATAAGGTGGTCAGGAGCAGAGATAAGGAAAGATAAGGACCAGGAACGTGTCTGCGAGATAGGGATTTGAACGTCGTAAACTGGAATAAAAAAACTCCCCTATCTCAAGTATGCTTCCCCGAGATAGGTACTTGAACGTCGTAAACATGGCCCAACTGGAAAGAGTGAAGATATTCCGAACAATATTCCTTTCATACTGTACCCCTTGGCTCCAAGAGCACAAGAACCCGTTCCAGATCGTCTCCCTTCCGGAAGCTTACCCGACACGCAAAATTCCAATCCATTTTGAGTCCCCATTGGGCCATGTTTACGACGTTCAAGTCCCTAACATGCTTGAGATAAAATCTTCTGAAGCTGTTATCGTTCCTGGACTTTGTCTCTGCTTATCTCTGCTCCTGTTGAGCCTTATATTTGCGACGTTCCAGGCAATATGGAAGCTATGTTCAGCCACGTTGGGGGTGGGGCCGTTCTGGGGCTATTTTCGAGAATATGGAAACTATGCTGGGCCACGTTAGGACAACCGTTACCGTTAATTGACCTTATCTCTGCTTATCTCTGCTCCTATTGGGCCGAATTGCGCGATCTTGAGCTACCTTGAGAAAAGATACCTCGATTTGCGACGTTCAAGTCCCTATCTTCCTTTCATACTGACTCCCTTGGCTCCAAGAGCACAAGACCCCGTTCCAGATCGTGTTCCTTACTGGGCCATGTTAAATCCCTATCTCGAAACATGACCGGGAGGGGATCACTTCCGGAGCTATGTTCGGTGGAAATATTGTCCCCTTCCATGCGGTGCGGGCGGTTACCGTCGCGAAGCGACGTGAATAGCCACTGCGCGAGCAGTGCACAAACTCAAAAACCTGGCGCAGCTCTATCGATGCAACTTACGGCCAACCCAGGCCAAATGTGGAATAGATAAAGTTAATAGATAAAGTAAACAAAGCCTGTTTTGCAACTTGGGATTGAACTTGAGAGTCAATTTGGGTCCAGTTTAGAGAAAAGCGAGAAAACCCGACTCCTCCATGGCCACTTGGGTATCTTTGAGTGCCAAGCTTTGGCGACCCCTCTCCGCAAAATGAAGCAACTCGTTCAGTGAGAGGCGACCATCACCATCATCACATAGTGAAAATACTTTGGACAAACGATCGAGTGACAACGCGTCCTCAAAAACGATGAGAGGGATCAAGGTCATTTCATATCACTTCATTCAGGTAAAAACTGATGAGATTGACGGCTTTGCCACTTCAAACCAAAGCGTCCTCCTCCACAGCTTCTGGAAACTCATCAGCAAAACTCACAAAAGCCAAGCATGCCAAAGCGATGCTGTGCATGGCACAACCCACCCACCCTGCTGCCCAATGAATGCCACCTGTGCTGAAGTGAGCAATCGCATGATGTAGAAACAGTAGGCTAGTTGTGATTGTTGAATCATTGTGGGCTGCAAAATATGTAGAGTCTAGAGTATCTTTGTCCCACCTGTTGTGGCAAGTTTCGGTTCCTATATCGAATAGTTTCGTTCTTGCTTGTTCACATTGTGGAATACTGTATATCACGTGTCATATATATATATACAAATACATATTTGTTTACCATGCCTTGAACCATGCTGCATTCTATCCATGTTGGCTGACAGACTGAAGCACTGCGGAACCAATCGGTCAATTGACATTCTTTGTATGAACTGGTGTCTTGCCAGTCATGGAACACGATTTCCTCGCGCTGTTTGAATTGGTGGCAAACGCATCTCTGCAGGTCCGGTGGTCTCTTGCAATCGAAAACATATTTCAGTCACCAAGTCGCAATCTCTCCAACGTCCGTCCTCCCATGGTCGTTTGATGGCAGCCAAAGCCACCGCCAGCTTTGCCCAAAAAAGCCGCCACATTTGGGTCAGTCCGGCACGTCCGCAACAGTAGACATCATTGGCCGAAAAAAAAAAAAGCAATCAACATTGATCAACTGCTTGTTGCATGATAAGACTTTGAGAAACCGATCCACTGTCATCGCGCAGCACAGAGAGTAGCCAAGGCTTGATCTGTCTGCCGGTCTCGAAATCTGTACTTTGTTGTATGAGTGCTGGAAGCCAGAAAATAGCCACGAATGTCAAGGCTTCTAAAGTGCTTCTCTGGTCACGAGCAAGGAAACCACCATGACAAATGGTGGATCAAACTGTCTTAGCATCTTTTGAGCAAGTTCCCATAAACAGGGTGCCACTGATCCCAGGCTCGAAAAGCCAAGGACCCACCACGCCTCCTCGACACAACTCCTCACAGGGCACACTTAGCAATCTTGCTGGCATGTGGAATGTGTTGGTCACCCTGGCCACCAGAGTCATACTGTCCCTGATACTCGATGTACAAATATGCGTGGGGCATACAAGTTCAAACTGAGGACACGTATTTCATGGACGTACACACCTTTGCACCCATATGCTCGCTGGTTTCAGCTATCTGAACTATCTTGGAATCAAAGTACAAGGACTCAAAATCAATTTGTGGGCAATGCAATAGCCAGTTCATGGCCTCCATTGACACCTCTGGAACTTTTCGAACAAGGTCGAAAAGTGGTGGCGAGGACCTCAAGGGCAAGTCAAGGGAGCTTAAGATTTAAGAGGACATCATGAAAAAAGGAACTCAGACCTGCCTTTCAACTTTAGGACCTGCCTTTAGGTAGGACCTGTTCCTTCGCGATTGTGCACTAAGGTTGCTGCTGGGCTTCAGCGGCTGCGCCCACACCCATTTCGGGGTCACCCTCGCACGCAGTGAAACGGATATTCACGCTGCCTTTCATTGGCCGCACAAATACCAATCCTGAATAGATTACAGGACTTTGTTGTAACACTTCAAAAAGATCTAGTTTGACAACCCCAACGGTCTAAACGAGTGGCAGCTTCAACGCAAAGCCCTTTTGAAGTGCTACTAGCCTGGAGACCCATCCCTCTAAAGGTTGAATCTAAAGGTGTCATAGTGGAAGGTCCACCCAAAAAACTGCTGCAATTTTTTTTCATTTGGCCTACCTTTCAGTGCTGTAAAAAACACCTGTCAAAATGCTGGCGTGACAACATTGAGAAGGCCAGCAGATCACCTTTTTTGACTGTGTCTTGTCTTTCTCTCCTTCTCTCTCTTCTCTTTCTCTTTCGCTTGTCTCTTGCTGCTGCTCAATCACCTCCAGTGCGTCGCTGCCATGCAGCATCAGCAGCTCTGGTTCCTTTGGGCGCTCTTCCAAGCTTTGGAAAGCCAATTCTTACAACAGCTGCATTTTTCGTAGATCATATGTGTATGTATACATATATGTATGGATAGATGTTAGTACAACATGTAGAACCCAAAGAACGAACAAGTGACGCGCTTTCTGATTTTGCTCAGGGTTCAGCCGCCCGATTGGCTGCAAGTGGCCACACGGGATGGCAACTGCGGAAAATGGCAGACATTTTCCTGTGGCTGGTGGTCTGGCGCAGATTTGGCTCGGGTTTTCTTTGGACCTCTTGTGGCCCACCTGGGCACACTTGCTCAAGGGGCCACTTGCGGTCGCGGCCACTTTGACCGGAATATGTCTGATCTTGCAGCGCGTCTGCAGTGGGTACGTCGGGTACGCGGCTTCAACTCCTCAGCCTGCCCTTCGCCATCATCAAAGCCGGTTGCAGTGGTATCCACCTGGAACTCGCCCTCTTGAGTTTCTGACGCAGCCTCCTCGCACGCAGCTCCAGTCACAGTTTGTGGTCCTGGGCAGCGAGACATGCTTGTTGGTTGTTGCTAAGTCGATACCAGGCAACAAGGGGTGCGACTACAAATGAACTGGTTCATGGGAGAATCTATGAAGGTGCGGCGGTCCCTTTTGGATGTCCTGTGTATGCGGATGTGCGGATCCACTGGCTTTAGCAGGCATCTTGTCCATCTCTGATCCTGTTGCGAGCCATCGCCAGTGCTCACCATGGTCGCAGTCCTCACCAGAAAAGGAGCAGAGACTCGCTCCCAGTTCAGACATGGAGCGCGCGGTTAGACCCAGCTGCCAAAGGCTATTCCCTGGCTCCGCTACCAATGATGGTAGCCACGCCCCTACAATACAAGGTAATATATATATATATATATATATATAGTTTTTTTGCGTATATACACATACATATGTGCATGCGTGCAACCTTTCACAACATGCTTGCTGAAATTGCGTAAAATGCTTGTGACCCCCACGCAGCACAAACTGAGTAAAGAACCACGGGCTCTTGAGCAGCACACCTGTCCAAAAGAGTGTATTTCAATCTGAAAGGTTGTGAGTGACCAGCTCCCTCTGCACCTCTGCTGCGGGGCAGGGGGTGCCTGACACAGCGCAATTTAAGGCAGCCAGACCACGAAAATATCCTGCTAAAACAAATGCGCGTCTAGACTGGTATCTTCGTCTCTGCATCCCTTGCCGCAGATTTCTGAATCTTCCCCACATGCCTTTACAGCGCTGCGGTAGACTCGGGGCATGGTCTCCAGGTTGGAAAACCTGCAAAGCAACAGAAAATCGGGAAAAAAAACAAGAACTGGCAAGTCACTCTAAACAAAAAGTTATTGAATACTGAAATGTTTGAGTTCATTGACTGGTTGCAGTATATGTTTGATATTGCTTGCAAAGTGTATGAGCTGCACCTCCGCACGCGCTCGTAGAGGTTGCTAATCGCATGGTGGATGGTGCACAGGTCCTCTGACCCACTTGATCAACTGATGCAAAAGACTGTGACTGTGAAGCAAACTTGCTTCATGATGACTCGCGATGTCTCTTGAAGGTCCATCCTACGATACCCTCACAGAAACCGTTCCCAGTTGATCCGCCGTGCGATCCTCAAAGTCAGTCACATGACACTTGCCAGATCTGCCCACATACTGCCGCACCTCTGCAATGCCAAGCGAATGTTTTTGCACTTTGCGCAAGCTGCATCTGCATATTCAAGAACAAAGCTCTGGCCACAGTGCGGCGCACACAAAAATCTTGTATGTACGCACGCGTGGAGATACATGGAACACATACACGGTCGGTGTACTGTACGGGTTCCTCTTACGGCGTACCCAACCTGCTCTAGCAACGCAGTTGCAGCTTTGGCCTGACAAAGAAGCAGAACTAACGAGGCCCTAAACCTTTTCGCTTTTGGCGCAAGTAAGCGAAGCTGTAGAAACATTCAGGTTCACGGCCTCTCTGTCGAAAAGTGTGTTGCGGTAGCGCTCTCGCGCTTGGGCGTCAGGACTGCCTCATCCAATGGGCTCGCTTGCTTTGAGGTTAACCAGTTGCCATGAACAACCCGCTTGTCTGTCCAGCAAAAAAAACCTCTTCAAGGTCCCTCTTTTGCACCACACTTCAACGCCCTTCAACGCCCTTCAGCCGCGTTGGTGCTTTTCTCTCTTCACAGGCCCAGGCCCATGCCACCCATGCTCTCTCGAGAGCTGACCAGACCCTGTGCCAAATGGCTGCGGTAAACTTATGGTTTAGAATAGGATTCCTTACACATTATTGTGAGTTTGGTGAAACCATGGACATGAAGCACACCTAAGCATACCTTTCTCTCTCATGAGAGATCATGAATCATGAACTTCCATCACCGAGTTTGCTATGTCAGTAGGCATCATATGGTTGTTCTGATGATGATCCAGGACCCAATCCAAAAAAGATGTTTGCTTGCTTCTGGGTATCAAGCAGAAGGTGATGCACCAGTGTTCCTTTTTGCATGAGGGTAGAGCAAGGGAATCTGATCAAAGGCCTTGCGGTCGCAAAATACTCTGTCTGCATCACCTCCTCTGCTTAACACATGCGCCTCCCTAGGGATTCTTTGTGGTTTGCGAGTTTACTGTAGTAGCACTTTTCAAGGCTACAAGCAAGGCCTGTTCTGCAGGCCAGCCCAGATACCGAACGCCTGTACAATGCGTCTGAGAAACTAAAGGCTTCAGAGGTGGAGCAAAGAAGGAACCACACTGGGTTGAATCTGGTAAACCAACAACCTAACAGTCTCTTGCTCCTTACAACAAACCAACACCTTGTGCCCTTACAGCAATAACACAAAAACGTAAGCAGTGTTGCCTACCTTATCAGCATGTGCTCCAGCCTTGTTGGAAGTGAAACGATGATCCAATCAAGACCCACAGCGCTTCAAAGGTCTCTGCTCCACTTACCCACTTACCATCTTTCATCTTTCAGAGGCAAATGGTGGTTTGCCTCGCAAGCCTGACAAGTCTGAGAAACCTGACATGTTGACAGTGTGACAATGTTATCTTTCGCTTCCATTGATGCATGCCAGTGCCTCCTTCTTAAGCACCAGACCTGAACTCAGTTGTGGAAATCGCCGACAAAAGGATGCAGTGTTTCT